TAATAACTAATAATTATATTTTTAAAAATATTTGCTTCATGTGGGATCACCATTATGTTAAACTGCGAGTAAGTTTGGTATTGTTATTCATATGTAGTTATTTAATGACAGTTTTAATACTTACAATTTGTTTGAAATTTGTATTATAATTATTAACTTTTAAAAGCTCAAGTAAAACTATTTTATATTCATATTAAATCATAAATTATAACATAACATATACGATAATTATAATGCTATTAAATTAAAATTAAATTATATCTATTGACATAGTCCGTGAGATTTAATAAATAATTTACTTTTAATGTATAAATAAATATCTTAATTATAAACTCATTAAACTTAAACACACAGGTAATTGAGTTACACTACGCGCACGGCTACCTGGGCAGCACATGGCTGTCCCCACTCACCAACACTCGCACCGACCGATACGGCGGTTCACTAGAAAACCGGATGCGCTTCGGGTTAGAGACGGCACACAGAGTGCGGACAGTCATCCCGAAAGAGACCCCACTTTTCGTGCGTATTTCGGTCACCGATTACGAGGTCGACGGGGGATGGGATGTCACACAGAGTGTGGAGTTCGCCAAACGGCTGAAGGCTATAGGCGTCGACGCCGTGGACTGTAGTTCCGGTGGAGTCGTCGCGCACGTAGACTACGGGCCCTTAAATACGCCGGAAGTGCAGCACAAGGCGTCGGCTACTATACAACGAGAGGCCGGTATCCCGACGGCAGCCGTCGGCAAAATAGTCCATCCCTTTCAGGCGGAAAGGCTATTGCAGGGTAACAGTGCGACACTTATATTCATCGGTAGGGCGTTCCTCAATAACCCCCACTGGGCTTATGGTGCCGCCGATGCGTTGGCAAACCCCGAGTCGTTTAAATATCCCGATCCCCACGACTGGTTTATCGGTTGGAAAGCCTTTTATAAATGGCGACAAGACTTACATACGTATGACAATAATAATTGAATTTTATTTATTATTTATGATACGAAATAAAGTATTTTAAGTTTTAAAACATGCTGTATGATATTCATTGTTATTACAATGTGTGTTAAATAGCAATATTTAAATAAATTCCTTGGTGCTTATTCGGACAAGTCATTTAAATATTAATTTTGAAATAAATGTTACACATGAAATGAATTATAAGCAACAAAGTAATGTACAATATTATAATTTATAAAAATGACTTTGCAAAAATTAACTTAACGTTAAAATGTAATACAAACACAATTAGATATTTATTTTTAATACCCAACATTTTATTTTAACTTATGGTTTCAAATTGCTTATTGATAATTAATAGGCCAATCAAAAAGATATAAACATACTGTTTATTATTATTATTATTATTTGCTTTGATAATACTTATATTTAAAGCATATTTAAATTTAAGTTTAATTGTTATGTTACAATAATTATATTATTGTGTTGTTGTTTGTATGAGAATAACAGAATAAGTAATAATGAAAGCCATACACGATATGAATGTTTTGCCATTTATTACAAACAAATTCATTGCCGATAAACACAGTCTCGACTCAAAACTTCTGATTTCCATGAATAACATCCTATCATTCGCTGACATATTCCCGGAACATAACATATCCTCCAAAAAACGAATTAATTTTCGAAACTTATTTGTAATTATATCGGGAATAAAACAGAGGCAACATAGAAATGAAATTGATGTCACCAGGGATATTATTGAAAATTGTAGATGTGTTGAAATGCCCAGGGCAAGTGTGCACAATGCTGATATACAAGCTAATGAATATAATAATAACGATTGTAATAGGTAAAATGAAATAACTTTATTGAACTTATCCAGGTCTATGTAAATACGATATATTGCCTGATAAATATTCAATAAATTAATATCGGTGTTTGTATCCAGAATATTCTGTATTTTTCGTGAAACCATAAAACACTTGTAAGCTATTAATGATAGTAAACTTATAGTGGTGTTAATCATTACAAATAATAATAATGTGTATAAAGCGAAAATAAACAAATTATCATAATGGTAGATTTTATAATATAAGCAAGTTAATACAAGTGTCAAGGTAAACGTAAATATTAACTGTATGTAGGTAACACATAAGCCAATTTTGTGTTCAATACGTGAATCAACAGGTAGATATTTATTACATACAACACTATCTATAATAGGCTTCCCTTTCAACATGATATACACGCACACAAAAAGAGACTGGGTCACATAGGCTATGTAACGTAAATGTAGACTAATAAACACCAGGATCGATTTTCTAGTATTTAATGTTTTCTCAGTCTCATTTCGTATAAACTTAACAATAAATATACAATACAAACAACTCATTAATATTAAGATACTGTGCCATATTATTTGAAGTGTCTTGGTGTATTTTTGTCGTGGACGATCTGGGTGAACCACTGAACCGCAATATGTAATACCGAGTATTTTGTGGTATTTTATTAGCATGTCTAACCCGGTTAATTTATTTGTACACATTATTAAACTTTATTTTAAAAATGCTTTTTAAAATATATTATATTTTATTGCTTTCACTATTCTCTGTAACTAATGGTAATAGTTTTTTATATATACAATAAGTTAATTAATGGTAACATTTAATGTTTTCAAAATAATTAATTTTCACAATTATGTCAATATTTGCGTGATACAACATGTTGCTATTATACAATAAATATAGCCTTTTATATGAGTTTTCATAATATTGCACTTTAATTATTGCTTACAATTATTATACCCTTAATTGATTTTTGAGTAAAACATAATTAAATAGTTTTATTAAGTAAATATACAGTATATAATTAATTTTCTTTCATAAACTAATAAGGGTTTTGTAAATATATCAATACTTAAGCCTTAAAAAATATTATTTAATTAATAATAAAAATACTCTTTAAGGCTCAAAATCTCATTACTTTTTTTCCTTGAATTGAATTTTACTGTAATTGAATGTTACGTAAAATATTTTTTGACAGTGTAAATTACGTAATTTACGCTGTAATTTACTGAAAATTACGCTTCATGCAACCTTAGCTATACCGCACATAATATAGTAAATGGTCGTAAGATTGGCATGGGCTTTATTAGCCAGAATATTTTTAAATTATAGAATTATAAAAATAATATGTTATCATTTTTATTAGAATCAGAATATGAATTCTTATCATTAAATAAAATGAACTTAAATACACGTAAAATAAATTAATAACCAGATCAATTAATATTGATTATATCAAAGGTTTTTGATTAATCCCAATATGATTGCCATGGTGATCATTTAAAGTTTTATTAATACAGTATATAATATAATATTATGATAAACATTTTACATCTAAATTGGAAGCATCGTGAGGTGAAAGTAAATTATGTGGTTATGTTTGCCATGATTAGATAGCCAGTAACATAATTAAAATTTTCAATTGACTAAAGTTGGTGAATCAAGTAAATTAGCTTGTTAAATTCATATTCAACCATCACTGACAACCTCATTTTTTCATTGAAATAACATAAGTTCTATGGATTCTACATAAAATGAATGTCAACTGTTATGTGCCGTCAAACTTAACATAATTCCAGAAATGATTACCGATATATGAACACAAAATACTAATATAATATTGTATATAATTAAATTTAATGCTATTTCAATGACAAAATGAGGATGTCGGTGATGGTTGAATGTGAATTTAACAAGCTAATTTACTTAATTCGCCAACTTTAGTCAATTCAAAATTTTAATTATGTTACTAGCTAACTAATCATTGCAATCATAACCACTAAATTTACTTTCACTTCACGAGGCTTCTCACTAAACCACTACTAATTATTAAATATACTGAATATTATTAAATATTCTAGTTTTAAATATACTGATATCTATTGTCATATGCAAGCTTAAATTACTTCATAATGCAATCAATTACTAATACGCGACATAAACTTTATACACATTTGGTTAATAAAAATGACCATGATTTTAGTTCATTTGAAATAATCGACTCATTTGTCAATAGGTATGTCATATTAGCCATAACTTTGGAGGACTACGCGAATGGCGATTATATACCGCGCTATCAATCGTGACAACTACTGGCCCGCGGGTTACTCACGTTATCGGGGGTCAGGTATGCCATCTCAGCCATTATTAACACGCCATTTACGAGGGCTCTGTTATGCGACGCAAACTACATGTAAATAACCCGAGACTCGCATCCCTAATGATAAGTGTGGCGTTTTGTTGCATACTATTCATCGGTACTAACGCCCAATGGTTTCAAAATAGGCGTCAAATATATATTTGTAATTTTGTGGTCGATATCCGTCGCCATCAGGTGTCGCCGCCATTGAGTCGAAGTAATTATCGAAAGCTTATCTTAAGACTCAATTTGTTTGGTAAATATATTATGCGACAAATGTTTTGTTTGTCACTATTGGCGATAAATGGTTTAATATATTGGTCATCGGTTATGGTTTATTTGGATCCCGACTCAGGTTTCACTATATTAGGTAAGTCCAATGGTATGGGGGCGCCACTATATTCCTATTGGTTTAATTCAATAGCGTATAGTTATATTTATTAGTATATAAAAATAATCAATAAAAACAGAGCATGACTTAACTTATATGCCTCCCGAAAGTGATAGAGATGGTTATATATTTAATTATTATTAAATATTAATTTTTTTAAATATGGTTAATTATGTTATAGTTAAATCACTTACTAATTCATTAATTATAATTTGAAACACATATAAATAAACCTTTTAGGACTACCAAATGTTAGGATAGAGAGCTAAGTATAGCTAAGTATATGTGATTTAGATTTTAATTAGTAAATTATTAGGCAATTTAACTATAACATTTTAAACAGCTTTTTAAAAAATAAATGGCGTCACATTTCTTTCTATCAACATAATAGGTGTGGTGTTTTAGACAGTATGTACAACTGTTTCCATGATACAATTGTATGCCATGATACTTATTGGTTATTTCATTATATACGCCCCCAGTAATTATCTAAAGTACAAATTCACCGAAATTAACATGGACATTCGTATAGCAATAAAACTTCGATCCAATATATTATTAATGAGAGCAATTAATCAGCACATGGTTGTCGCTAAAATCACCCATAAGTTTAACACACACTTCAAGTACATACTGTTTGCGGTCTACTATTTCGGTACGCCTACCATAGAAATAATGGGATATTTAACGTTTGCAAAGGAGACCAAAACCATGCTGATCCGATTTGTCACTGCATTTCTATTTATGGTAATGTTTGCCGTAGTATTTCTCATCAACTACCTGTCCACACGAGTCAGTAGCTCTGCCCATAAAAACATTCATATTCTGTATTTGCATATGAATTGCTGCACGCTTTCACTGAGACATCGGTTAAGGGTTTTGGTGTTCATCGAGAGGTTAGACAAACACTTAATCTGGTTCTCTATTCACGACTTATTCCGTATGTCTTCACTTGAGTTCGCTTTCTACGTTTACGCCGTTGTCTCCAATTATATGCTTATACTTAACTTTGGCAGCTAATTGTGCCACTAGTATAACATAGTATACAATTAAACCTAATGTTATTTCAATGACAACATAAGGATGTTAGCCATGGTTGAAAGTAAATTCACCAAGTTAATTTATTAAATCGCCTAGTTTATTTAGTTCGAAATGTTAATCACGTTACTGGCTAACTATTTATGTCATTCATAACCACCCACTTTACTTTCAGCCCTTGATGTTTCCAACTTAGCTTAATTTATTTTAAATATTTACTCAAATTAATTACCCACATGCTTTAATATAAATATTTTATGCTTGTGTTGTTTGTATAAATACTTAAGAATAGCTAGTAATGAAAATCATAAATGAAAATTAGTTGTTAAACATCCCACATGCCAGCCCACAAAATAGTAATCTTTTCATTATTGAATAAAATTAAATATATTTTGTTGAAAATATTTACAATTTTATTTATTTATTTCAAATATAAATATACTTAAAATATTTGATTACGGATTACTATGATTTTGCTTGGTTGTTAAATAAATTATAATTAACTAATCTATTCAGATAATTTTTATATAATCCAAGTAAATTAATTATCGTTTAGTATTTAAATAATAAAAATTATGTTTCATTTATAAGGTATTAAATAATAAATTTTAGGGTCAAGATGGTTTTAAATAATTCAAAAATAAATTAAATTTAAATAGCAAATTAATTGAATTATGTCAAACATTTTAATATATTTAAAATAACTTTTAATGTACTAGTATAGTTTTATTTTAAAATACTAATTAAATAACATGCTCAAAATTTAAAAATTAATATATTTAACATAATAATATTTTTTAAAAAGCCACAAATAAAAAACCCAAATATTTATTAAATTAAATTACCTAAGTTAATTTAATCTGTAGATTTCATAAATTACAGTCTTTAGAAGATTTTAATATTATTATTTTACATTATATAATTTCAATATATAATTATTAAACCTTTAACTAATATTAATAAATACATAATCTTTACGATTGTGTGGTTTGTATGAGAACTACAGAATAGCTAATAATGAAAGCCATACACGATATGAATGTTTTACCATTTATTACAAACAAATTAAATACCGATAAACACAGTCTCGACTCAAAACTCTTGATTTCCATGAATAGCATCCTATCATTCGCTGACATATTCCCGGAACGCAACCTATTCTCCAATTGTTTAATAAAATCCCGGAATCCTTTCAAAATGATTTCCGGAACAAAGCAAAGTAAAAATAAAAACACGATAAACGCCACTAATCCTGTGGTAGCATGTAAATCATCCATGGAGATTTTCAAAATTAGCGAGCAAATAAATGATATAGATGATATTGAGATGGTATATATTGTGATTAATAAATATAATGAAAATTTTGCATTAAATTTATTTAAATTATTAGATATATCGTATAGAATATCACGAATTGACATAAGATTAACATGATAATTTTTAACCAGAATATTTTTGAATTGATAATACACTAGATAATATTTATAAGCTATCAACGATAACAAACTTAACTGGGTAGTTGATGTAAAATAAAATAATAGCGTATGAATAGTCACCATGTAGATGTTTATATCCGGGTACTTCATTATCAATCTGAATAATACACCTATCTCAAGTAATGCAATTATCATAGCAAATATATATTGTGCCAAGGCAATACATAAACCAATTTTACGTTCAATAATAGGGTCGACAGTAACTGTTGAATAATCTTGACTTTTAAGGCAATTCAAAATAGACTTCCCATTGACCAGGGTATAAATACATACAAATACTGATGTGGATGCTATTGACGTAATACCCACGTTTAACGTGAGTATCAAGATTATTTTGTTACCCATATAGAGTGTTCCGGAATACATGTACGTTCCCAATACGTGAGTAGCCAGGTAACAGTGGACACCGAGAATTAATAGCAAGGTGACATTCCATAATGTTTGTAATACGCGAATATATGTTCGCTGGTTATATTCTGAATTGACCGAGGTACCCAAGTATGTAATACCATGTATTTTATGTAGTCTTATTAGTATGTTTAAACCATTTAATGATTTAGTTGACATTGTGATTTAAATAATGCTTAATAAATGACTAATTTATGATGTTAGATTGTAATAGTTTAAATAGTTTAGTGATTTATTGTGTATTATAACAAATAGTTGCTATTGGTAATAAGCTTATTATTTGTAACAAATGAATTTATTTATACATAGTTCCGGTTACTATTTTGTTGTTTTTATTTACTCTAGCATATCAACATTAGTTTATAAAATAAATACTATTTGTTCATTTACACTATGTAAATGCCAATATACTTAATAAATTAAATATAATATAAATGTTTTTATTCAAAACTATGATATCTCAGCTAATATACAAACTGTAATCATAAA